ATTGTTCCTATTAGAATGTATATCGATTGGTAGATTAATGATAGAAGTTAATTACCAAAGTTACAGGCCATGTAGTGCTATTGGTTGGTAACAATTGTGACCACTTGTAAATATTAAGAGTGACCCTTAAATCGTTAGTGTCAACTTCAAATTCATCGCAAACCAAAGATACGTTAATTGCTTTGCTATCTCTATCATACAAAGCTATGATGCTTATGGGAGCGAGAAAATCTTGAGACCAGTAATGCAATAACTAGAGGGAAGGAAGAAAAGAAAAATGGAATACATTTTGAAATATCGCCCACAACTGAGCACATATTCGTTCGGCAATATTTTTATCTAACTTGCTGGTCATATTTAGGACCATTGTTCCTATCCGTAGTTAGCACGTTGTTAGCGGATATTTTTCGATGTTCTTCGCAATTCTTATGTGAGAAAGCAGACTTACATTGTTTTCATAGTTAAACTTGACAGGGTTAACGAACAAGGATTTATCTTTACGTCGCAACCTTAACAACTTTATAAGGCTTCCAGACGAAGGAAGATAAACAGATAAAATTAATTACTCGCTATGTCTGCTTTATACATCTTCAATGATTAGGAGAACATTTATGAATAATTATGATTACCTTATAATTGCCGTAAAAGTCTATGGCAGACCAGGAAGGTGCGATCCAGACATCATTCAATTGCCAATAGAGAGCGCCCATCGTGCGATGCTCTGTGTCTCTTAAAGTTCGATAAAGTTCCGTTTCAACTTTTGTGGCCATTGCTTGAGCAATTTGACTGAAATACACCAAAGCTTCGAGATAGGGTGGATCCTCTGGCAACGGCAACGGCAAATGACGTCTTATCAAATTTGTCATCACCGGTATGCCCACTGGATGATGTTGCCTATGCTTAATTAAAGAGACTAAATTATCGTGGGGTCCAGCTGTTTTAAGCCACGATGCCATTTGCGGTAAACCTTGGAAGCCATACTCTGAGGAAAATCTGGGCCGAGGATATATGTTTGGATCCCAAGCATTCTTGAATACATCATAGAAGTGTACTGTTCAGAAATCATATACAAATGTTTGTCAGATTTTATTTTGTATAAAGTTTAAGAAAATAAATTTTAAGAAAATGCTTACCATCACCATAGTCTGGATCTTGCGGATTATCCGATATATAATTATCATTGGCTGACACTTTACCATTAGAAGGTGACGAGACTAATGGAATAGGTCGACTGCTATGTTCCACAATTTTTAATTCATGCATAACGCTAGCTAAGTACAATTCCCGATATTCTTGACGAAAACGAGCATCTTCGGCACTTGTTCCGTACCAGCTTTGAACCAAAGCCACTTCATTCTCATTATTCGTAGCCAATATCGCAATACTAGGATGATGGGCAATTCTCTTGATATTCTGCGATATTTCCACACGTACGGAAGCTAAATATGACTCCTGAACTGGGTACATAGCACAAGCAAACATCATATCATGCCATATAAGTAAACCATTTTGATCGGCTATATCATAAAATTCATCAGACTCGTAAATACCGCCTCCCCAGATTCTGATCATATTTTGATGAGTGTCTTTGGCCGACTGTAAAAGATGTTTCACTAAACGCATCCGAAACGAAAAATAAATGTACATTTAGCTAAATACATTAATATTCATGTAAACATACATACATCGGTTGCTGTCTCGACTATATTCCGGTAGTATATGACTCGGTATATAGTTGCTACCTTTCATAAATATTTCTTTCCCATTGATTTTAAAGAAGAAAGTATTGCCGGTCCCTACAAGTCCTTAAACGTTAGCATCATCGTGAATGCATAAAAGTGATATATAAAAATACCTTCTTTTACTGGGTCTTCTATTAGCTCTATTGTTCTAAAACCGATGCGTATAGATTTCTCAGACTTGACATTATCTCGCAAAGTAGGACCTTCCGGATTCGACCATGCTTTCAGACTATAATGCAAAGGATAAAGCTTTTGATCGCCAAAACCATTAGGCCACCAAAGTGTTACGTCATCCTAAAAGCCATAAAGCAATAATGTAACGGGACATGTTTCTAATGAATGCTTCTTTTAGCTTACAATCGGTACATCGATATCAAAGGTAATGATTGGAGCTTGGCGTCTGACTGGTGTCTCAACATGTTTGTTAATTATCACTGGGTTTTTAAGCAATTCACTTAAAATTGTAAAAAAGCAATCGAATGAATGCAATAATAAAAAGTAGAAAATATTAGAAATGAATTTTGCACATACACAGCATAAAATGTTAATTCTGCATAAAAATCCTTATCACCATTGCAATCGATAAAAACACGACTTTGCATCGTCCAATGGGTGGTATTTTTAGCAAGCGTGACATCAACATCACGTATAATAGCGACATTGTAGTATTCTAGCGTGACAGGTTTCCATATGCCCATAGAAGGAGCTGCCAATCCCCAATCCCAACCAAAGCTAGCTTGCATTTTCCGCAACATATTCATATGACATTCGCCATGATATTGCGAAGGTGGACAATTGGGTGGTACATCAATGCCCTGGCTTTCAAGTTCTCTAGCTCTGCTAAGAGCCGCATGTACCGGTGATTTTATCTCAATTTCCAAAGTGTTATCCTCTTCCAAGAATTTGGTTATTTCATAACTATAGCGTACGAACATATTGTCAGGTCGTCCAAGCAAATAACCGTTCAAACGAACCTCAGCCACCGTATCAATTCCATGCAATGTTAGATTAACAAAACAAATTGATTGGAAGTCTTCAGTTTTTACTATATATATATATATATATATATATATGTATGGAAAAACATTTGATTTTTAAATACATTTTTATTATGTAAAGTGGGCGCAGCTTTTAGAACAGATTAAAAATGTTTAAGAAAAATGTTTCATTTACCTGAAAACGAGTTCGCATATGTCCAATTGTCATAAGAAATCCATCTTAGTTCGACGTCATTATATGAATCCAGCACCTTCTCGGCATACAATTGACTGTAAACACCCGATGGAATAGTGACTCCACTTTTTGTTATTGCTTTTGTACAAAGAACATAACAAACGAAAATTTATTAATATAGATACTAATGCAAATCACGAATCTTAACAAATAGTTTAGGAATCTTGCTTAGACAATATTGCTTAGAGGTTGTAGTTTGCTACTTTTTCCCCAAGGCGGCAGCAAGCAATTTGAATTGATTGGCCACAATGGCCGTGTGGTCGCAGTTGTTTTAGATTTTCGATCGCTAAAGTCACACTACTTATTGTTCGGGCATATATCTCTCACACTGCAGTCGCAACATACTTGAGTTTTCCCCCCTTCTATCGTCCTAATCGTTATCATATTTCCATAAGTAAAATGACTATATCCTCAGTGACTCCTCATCAAAAGTAAAAAAAAAAAAAATAAAATAGGGAGACAAAGTGTTTGAAGGCAGGTTGCAGGCCGATAACATAGCAGAGTTGTGAGCCTTTTTCCTTATTGCAAGGACATTTGCTGGGTAGCAGAACGTACCTCTATAAACTCTATACGAGTTAAATTGGTTATCAATCTTATGGCTTTTCTTATTCTTTTTTTTTTTTTTTGCGCTTCAAACGACAAAGCAGCTTTTGCTTATATGAACCCTATTTTTTAAATTAAGTCATTTCTTTAAAAAAAATTGAAAGACGCTCCATGAAGTATGTGTGCATTTACCATAATGGAACCAAGAGTTGAAAATTAAATATGAATGGATTTTAAAAATAAATATAAATTTACATGAGCCATGGAGCTTTGTGTTAGCAAAAATTACTCTCTTCCAATAGATAATGCGAACATTCCAAAAAAAAAAAATTCGCAGAACGATATCGAATTTGTAAGCAAAGCACAATAAAGCCTTGCAGAGACTTGAAAATCCTTATCCTCCCTCGTTTCGAAAGGCTTTTCTCCAATATACTAGAGGTTCAAGTACATATACACCATTCAAAAGAACATTTCTCCATTTCTCAGAAGGGTATAGTGTACCTATAATCTTTCATAAAAAAAAATCCTTGTTGCCAAACAACCTTTGCAAATCTCCAAAAAGGGGATGTGAAGGACGAACGCGAAGGATACGTTTTAAGTTGTTATCATCTTAGCAACTTAGATTAGGCGACGAAAAGGATAACGTCTTCACGTCTGGATGTGATAAACAAGCAAAAGTACTGTAGTGGGCAATGGCAAACCATTAAATACTCTACATTATACTGCTTAATGCAGTTATTTATGTAACGACTTTATAGGAAGTGGTCGAAAATATCGTTTGGCCTTGGGTCAAAACATACTTGTGTACCAAATAGCATCAAAATTTCTCAAAAATTGTGACCTTTGAGTTGAACAAAAACAACAAGACGGGCAACAAAGCGGGACATCTCACGTCCTTTTGGGTGTTGGTTACACCCTTACAAACTTAATATACCCCTGTACCACAAATCATGTAGCATTGAGAAGATAGCGAAATATATATTTTTCTTTTCGGGATCATAATGAAAAACGTGGGCTTATCGTTGAGATCACAGACACAACGAACTTTTTTATCCTAATAAGAAAATCGATTGATGTTGATTTATAGCAATGTAATGTAATATAAAAAATATAAATTGGCGAAACGACATATGTTCTGTCTGCGAAGTTCGCTTTGAAGAAAAATGCTTAAATAAAATCGAAATCAGTTTTTTTTTTCTTTTGCTTCAACATTATTAATATATCTAATCGGTTTGTAATTACTATATATTCAATTAATTATGACTTCTTACTTGAATTTTGTTATCAGTTTGATGCTTTAAGGGAAATATAAAACAAATTCCTAAATTTTGATAACATTAAATCGTACAACGTATAACAAAAGCAAATAAATAAGAATAAGCAGTTGACCTTGGAACGAATTCAGAACACCTACCGTTCCAACATATACCCACATATTTCTTTTACCAATATTGGGCGGATCATCAATTTGTAGTTTGTGACTATTTCCCTGCGACACTTGAAGGCACCTATCATACTAAATTGCCGATGTGTTGATGTGTTTCTTCTACTAAGGGCATAAGTACTAAATTTTATATCAATTTTGACATCGATCTCGAGAATCGCAACAAGGGGAGAAAGAGAACTATATAAGGAAAAAATGGACAAGATATGATTGTCCGACAAGATGAATGCATAGACGAATGCGTCAATCAAAGGACAGATTGCATAGATTGCATAGATGACCGGTTGAGTCACTTGAGAGATGAACGCACGACTGGACAGACAATTACTTAATGTTGATGAAATTCGCTTTCCAGATCGTATTCCACTGAAGAATAGATATATATATTTTATGATGATCTATGGGACTTGCAAAATTCACCCTCTCTTACCCTCTCTATCTGACTCTCTCTCACTTCCTCTCTGTGTGCCTCTTTGCTTCAAAGAGTTATTCATGTATTGTAGTGATGAATGTGGAACGTGCATCACCATCGAGCAAATCTCAAATATTTTTTCACATTAATCAATATTAAAATTACTATTATTTTATTAAAAAGGAGGCTTGAGTACTATTTCAATTAGATTCATCAGATCTCTTGCTAAATTCTCTCTTGCTGTATTCTGGCTATTAGAAACATGATATGACAGATGGGCGCCGCAAATTTTCGATTGTTTTTATTTAAACAAATTCAACGAACATCTTCTTGCGTTAAAAAGCGTTAGTACAACTTGCGTTCGCCGTCGAATGCTAGATGCAATACAATATTGTAGTGGGCTTATGTTTAGTTTATTTGTTTACCGTTTACTGTTTAATTACGCGACACCTGACAGATAGGTTTTAAAAAACAAAAAAAACTTGGTACAAAAGATTTCATATGGAGAAGTAAATGCGTTAATATTTTAGTAGAACACAGACGTCTGTCGTAAAATTGCCAAACCAATAAACAGGAAATTTTAAAAATAATTAATATATTAAAATGTACATATGGTATATCAAGCACTTACTGCCATTTTCATTGGACAACGTCCAGTTCCTATTTAAGTTAATAACTCGTACGCGATCCGCGTCACATTTGGAAGCCAGTAAAAGCCATAACAGCACAACTGATAAAGCCAACGAATTCGATGGGAAATTAATTAAGAACATTTTGCGAAATTTTTACACACGTCATATATATATATATCTCACATTTATCACATTCTAATTGGATTCGTTAACAAAAATTTTAATAATTTTTTTTATTTTCTTTTTTTTTTCCAAATTTTTATTTTATTCACAATATATTATATTATTATTGTTTTCAGCAATTGCATTACAAAGAACTTGAACAGAAAGCGCCGTAACGGTTACTTTTGCGAAACTAAAGTTACGATCACGATATCTAAGCATTTATAGATATTTAAGTGTCAAGTACAAAACCGTAGACTCACAAACGCAAAAGTTGTATTATTTTCATTTGATTTATTTTTTCCTTCAATCTTTCCAATCATGAGTTTTCTTCACGAGGGCAGTTAGGAAAATCTCTGGAAAGAAACAAATTCATTGCAAAGAGCAAGTATATAGTCGATAAAAGGTATTTCGGAAACTCAAAGTTTCAAGTGCCTAACCAATCTTGTCTAGATAACGTTGGATAAAAAAAATGAAAACGTTGACTAAGCTTTCTCAGCTAACGGATACGATTTCGAATGACCTGACATGAATCTATATCTCATGCCAAGACTATCTTGCTTGCATCGACAATATTGTGTAACAAAAAAGATTTTATGACAGAACTTTCTCAGCTAATGGGTATGAGCAGCAAACTTCAATTGCGTTTGCTTTTAAAATACTTGGGGAAAAAATAGAAAAAAAAAAACCAAAAGCCTTCAACCTTTCTTTTCTTCATCTCAAACAATTAAAGTTTTCGCGCTAAGATAATTTGAAAAGCTGAATCATGTTTGGAAAGTAAAGAACTTAATCCTTGCACCTTTTCTCTCTCAAATCACTTGGATTATTGCATCAGCTTTTAAACAAGTCGTGTCCTTATAACTATTTATTTCATTAGACTTTTCTCTGACATCAAAGCAAAGGCTCATATCTCTCCCTTATAAGCATTGATTATAATAGGGTAGAAGATATGTGACTGGAGGTTGACGCTTATTTGATATATAACTTCGCTCAGTCGGAAAAGGCAAACGCTTACCAATTGGTTGCACAATGCTTCCTTATCTCTTTACCTTTCCTCACTCTTTTCCGACCGTTACCGTTTTACACGAATAGGGGATATCGCCTATAATAAAAAAATGGAAGAACAAAACAAAACATTTAATAAAATCTGTTAATGTCAGTCAAAAGATTTTTGACGTAGCGAAACTCTTCCTGTTACTATAATGACGTACACGGTACAAATTTTCATTTCTATACATTTTTCTTTTTAATAAGAAATCGTTTTACTGTCTCATGCGCGAATGATTCACACCGCAATTGCGTGATTACTCTATAAACTCCACTATTATTTACTTTTTTAAATTGATAAAAAAATTTTTTCGCCACACAAAACCACCACTTTCCACTTATTTTGTATCAAATATTCTGTGATATCACAGATATAAGGAAATGTGCTTAACAAGCCGACTTTTTAAATATCCCTCGTCCCTATGTAAGTAAGAGCGAATTACTCATTCTTTATGGCCGGCTTTTTCATTTAGCGTTTGTTGATTGCGTGTTTAGCGGTGAGAGGAGAGAGAATAATCTTTGATTTTGAGAGATTAGCACAGAGATAGATTAAAATAAGCAACCGACCAACCAACAACGAATACCGATGTATTTTATTCAACATTTTTTCATTTACTTTTCTACATTTTAAAACAAATGGTGATTCAAAACTATATTTAATCATATATAGGGTGTGCAAAAATTTACACAAGATTTGAATTTGCCGCCATTTGTGCGGTAAAATGTTGACAATCTCAGAAGAAAAAAAAACAGTTTAACAATTGATAGCTTAGGGCTAATAAAAATAGAGTATTGGACGAGAGACTGACGCGTTGTTGAAGAATATTTTAAAAATAATGAAAATTTTACGAACATAGTCCGGAAGTTTCGCCCAAGGTATGATCGGAATATTGGTTTAACTTCGTCTTTGTTTTTATGGGGTTACTTGAAATCAAAGGTCAATGCCAACACGTCCGCCTTCACTCGGACATTGATTAAGTTTAGCAACGAGGAAATCATTATTAGCCCACTTACAGTAAGGCTTACCTTGGCATCTTCCTTATACTTTGTAATGGGAAGAATGCGTGATTTTTATTTCACTATTTTACTTGCTACAAAATCAGCTGACTTCAAACTGGTATATGGAACTGAATATATAGATCTTATAATAAGACTTTTTAAAACCAAAATTTAAAACAAAAAAAAGGGAAAAGGGCGGGTGTTTAAAGAAAATGTTCCGAACTCTTATTCTTGTCAGTTAATTTTAGTAATAAAAATTCCTAAGTCATATCTAAATTTAAAAAATAAATTTCATAAGGAACACTCTGCCCTTAATTACAAATCCGAAATATTTTAAACATTTCAAAATCTCTCAAGATCTTTAAATTTCTAATGAATTTTCAAGCGATCTCTCTTTAAAGAGTGCTTACAACAAATATGGGCAGCATAGTCTGGGGTTTATTGCGCCGCTGGGTGCAGAGGTTTGTGTTGCTTATTGTTTTTTTCAAGCCTCCTTAAGGCGTGACTCAACCTTTAATATCAACTTTGTCGTCGGCTGCAGAACTTCGTTACGATTTTATCGCAATCTTTTGGAGCATTTGTGGCCGTAAGTATATTTTTCGTCATCACTGCTGTTAACCGTTTGAGAAACGATAACATAGAAGAATAAATTTATTCCGTGCCCATCTGGGAAGCACTTGAGTATGACAGACGAGCTTACATGATGATATTCTGCGGGATTTGATCGCTTATATTAAACCACTGCGGAAAGCCGTTGCGTTTGCTTCCTTCATTAAAAGTTCGCATACAATTCCACATTTTTTCGTTTGAAGCCACGTCCCCGTTATCGAACTAATATATGATGATCAGTATTTAAGCCTTTGATTGCGTTAAGAATCATTTGTCTTGACTTTTACAGGTAGTCACCTACAGAAATTGAAGGAACTATTCTTTGCCTGTTGCTTTTCATAGCGAAACTTACCCACCCATAGCATCGTTTATCTTGTGGGCTTTAATATTGTATGTGATACGATAGCGGATATGAAGATTTCTTTTATTTTTCTTCATTTTCACGAAGCAATTTCTTGACGCATCTTGAATATAGGATTTCAAATATCTTTTGCTCATTGCTTAGATCAACACGACAGCTTTTCAAACGCAGTGTAATTTAAATATCCAGACTTTTGAAACACCGGCACTGTCATAGAAGGAAAAAAAGAAGCTTTACCCACTCTTAAAAAGAGTGAATGAGGGAAAGAAACTTTTCCATATTTACCTACAGTCATATTTACGTATTTACACTTCGTTGTGTAAATATCAGTATATATACAATGACTTTTCGAAAGCAAAAAAGTGCACATATAGGAGAAACGGGATGTCTTTCTCTACGTTGTTGTGTCTTCAGTTGGATTCACATTTATACCTACATCACTACACAATCATTTTCTATACACGTTTTTTATTTTACTGCAACAAAAATTTTATTATCAACATTATCGCAATTGTTGTTGACATAGCGGGGTTATATAGTTACAGAAGTATTTCTTTAGGACAATTTGCTTGGGTTCTATTGGCGATAAATTGATTTACGGTCATTATGCGTACATTATCTGAAGTCAACAAAATACATTTTGACGATTTTGCGGTAAGTTCTACATGAATCACCTTAACGGGTTCAACTTGAACAAAACCATTTTCCGATAACGTATATCTTTCCACATCCGGATGATAGATTTCCAAAGAAACGAATAAAGCCGGCTTTTCAACCATTGTCGTTATACTGTAACTAATGAACGGTATTTTCCCTTCAACGCAGTGCACGAGAGACAATTCAATCTAAGCGAAAAAAAAAAAAATGAAAAAAGCATTAAAAGAAATTAAAATATTCGTAAAACCCGATAGAGGAGTTTTTATAACCTTTAATTTGGGATCAGGTAAAATAGTTTTTTGAAAATTTCCAGGGAATAAATAATTTCGCGATATTTCCGAATCATTTTGATTTTGCAAAGTAAATTCGAGAAAGCTATTAGTGGTATTGAAGGGTGCCGTGAAAACTTCCGACATAGATAGATGATAAGTTAAAAGTCCGTTCTTCATATTTCCAATAAATAATTTCATAGTTTTTCGTGGATACAAATTCATCCATGTATAGATATTAACGATCACTTTATAATTGTAAATTTCTTGATTAACGAACGATCCTTCATGCGTTACAGTAACATTGATTTTATTATTATTATTATCCATGACCGCGATAACATAGTTGGGAGCCAAAAATTGTTTGGACCAATAGTACAACAGCTGTAACAATGTTTAATCAATCATAAATTTTTTGAACTTCTCTTGAATATCTTTTATTACCTTGTAGTTCCCATAAAAATCTATACTTGAGGATGACAAAGTTACCCAGACATCGTTCAAATGCCAATAAAGTGTACCCATTGTTTTCTTACGCAAGGCTTGAGTGCGAAACATTTCAGTAGCTGTCTTAATATTCATAGCTTGAGAAAGTTGACTAAAGTAAATCAGCGATTTTGCGCAGTTCATAAAAGCGGATGTAGGTAATCCAAAGTAATATCTTATCAGGATTAAAATAGCTTCAAGACCTTGAAATTGACGTTGACGATATGTTATTAAATCAAGGATTTTATCATTTTTCGATATGCTCCGTTTCCAAGACGATAATATCGGCAGACTTTGTAAACCGTATCTACTTATAAAGCGGGGACGTGGATAAATGTCAGAATTCCATAGCTCTTCCCAAAAATATGCTGAAATGAAGGTAGGAAGGAGAGACAGAGAAAGAAAGTGGAAATAGAATGCAACGCTCTTTTCCGTAAGAGAATGAAAAATTTTTACTCTGCTTGGAAGGACGACGTTTTGCGGATGGATAACAAACATGGTTTTTGTTTCATCTGCGGACTTAAGCGCACTCTACTTGCCCTGAGAGAATCAAAAATGGATGCTAAGCAAACTGATGATCGGTCAGAATCTTAATCCCGGCAATAACACATACATGTGTAAAGATGTGTACGCACTGTTAGATGCGTATCAAGACTGCGTGATAATTTTTTAACGGTAGGTATGTCTGCCCGTGAGGAATATTTTTGCATTTAATTTTCAGGCCACTCTGCTAGTTTCTTATACCAAGTCTTACATCCATATCTGCCATGGATTGGAAGCTTTAAACTCTATGGTAGTATTCAGCTAAGAAAATCGCATCTCAATTTTTGTATAAAATATGAAATGGACGGACGGACGCAAATAAATCGACAACAAATCTAATACCAATCAAGAAAATGGTTTATGGACTTTTTGCGGGATTTCGTTGAACAGAAAAACAAGTTGAGTGTAAAACATAATTCCTTGAAGGACTATTAAATTTTATGACTCTGTTTTTATGAGGTAGCTACAAAGTAAACCTTACAAACACACATACCATTGCTGAAGTTCAAATTCGGCAATCTAATGTAAGAAGTCTCTACATGTTCCCGCGCAAGCTCAAAAAACAAAGAAGTCGTGAAAAGAAGAGAAGACTTAATGTCTTTAACGGTTAATGCATTGAATTCAAAAATTGTAATGTTCCCAAATGCTTGACGATAATTTATTTCTTGACGATTTATATCTTTAGTAAGTTCATTAGGAAGAATTAGTTGGACATTATCCATTCCATTCTTAATGCCCAACAATGCCAAACTAGGATGATGAGCAAAACGCATGACATTTTGCCTAATTTCCAAACGAATCTTTCTAAAAATGGGAAAAAGTTTTCTTTTAATTATGTAAGAAGTTTCCTTCAATCTAGTAAATGGTTCTTGATCTGATTAAATATACTTACTCTTTAAAATTACTAGTTAGGGAATAATTTGCGCCCAAAAAAGGGATATCTTGCCAAACTAATAAGCCATAAGTGTCAGCTAAATTGTAAAAATAATCTGATTCATAAAGACCGCCATCCCAAACACGAATCATATTTAAATGTGAGTTTTTAGCTGATCTTAGAATATGCTTAACTGTAATAAGTAAAAGAAAAACATAAGATATTATTTTTTGCTTAACTTTGCTTGAAAGAAATAGAAAGTAAAAAGGACAACCTTTGTTCACATCAGCTGCATGTTCAGGTAATATATGAGCCGGTACGTAGTTGGCACCTTTAATGAATATTGTCTGTTTATTAACCTTGAAATAAAAGGATTTTCCATAACCTGTAAAGAACGTATTATATATGCAATAAATGTCATTGACGTTAGGCGGAACTTTCTTTTACCATCGAAATCTTCGATCAGTTCAATCGTACGAAATCCAATTTTTATCATTTTCTGTGATAATGTTTTCGCTCGTAATTGCGGTTGTCCTTTACCCAGCCAGCAATTAACGCGAACGTACAAAGGATATAATTTTTGTTCACCAAAACCATTCGGCCACCATAATGAAACTTTGTCCTAAGCAAATTATAATTAATACACATATATGTTTTTAATTAATCGGGCTTCCCATGAAATAAGAAATACATTGCGGGCGATTGCCCTATGACACGATTTCATGTAGGATGGATGGGTAACTCAATCATTAATGTAAAATTTAGGTACACAAAAGCAAGGGTAGAAAACATGTATTGATAGATTTTTATATGCTTCTTGTGAAAAGAAACATTTATTACATAGAAGATGAGAGTATTTAAATAACTCAAGTGGTTTGTACAACGCTTTGTTATATATTAGGTGCTTGCATGTATTTTGGCCATTTTTTCGATTGAAATTCTGTTTTTCATTTTTCGATTACAATGGTAAAGCTTTCTAACAACGTTCTAAAAATGGTCTCTAGTAAGGAATATAATAATGTAACAAAAGGATTTCCATATATTTGCTTTCCTAATTACAAGCACTTTTAAATGTAAACGGCGCGCCCAACAAAGATGTTGTAGTACATAGTTCTGGAAAAAAACTAACGAACGAAAACTAAGGTAACTCCCCTGACGAAGAGGAAAAGTGATACAATCTTCTTCTTTGGGTTAATGGTATTAGGTGGCGATAGCCTATCAACAGAACGGTATTGGTTTGCCAGCAATCAAATCATGGACCCATTTTCGCACTTCAAACGGAGCAAACCTGTCAGTATTTTTTTCGAATCTTATCTTATGTTTTTATATGATAATGTGAAACTGGATTAGAAAAGGGATCCTTCGTTTATTAGTTAGGTAAAGTATAAAACGATTAGAACCCAAAAAGACTTCAGAATACTCTTTAGATATATGTACTGACGATAATGAAATCTTGAGACTAGAAAGTGTAAAAAAGTACAGATGTCGCAAAGACGGGCAGAATTTAAGTTAAGTAATTTAAGAATTCAATTCGGGCACAAGTACGTTTGGGCACATGTACGTTTGGGAGCCAATATCCTTATTAAGTTTGTGAACAAAGATAGTCGTAGTCACAACTCTTCTTCAAAAAATTTTTAAACGGGAATAAAATATCCACCTTACTTAGTGATTGATTTCATAAAATTAAAGATAGAGAGAGATAGCACAAAAGATATTCTTTAAATCATCTAGCCTTTAGAGTAGTCTTAAACCGTCATCTTGGTCCTATTAGTTTTGTTTTACATATTAAAGATCTACTCGCGGTAATGTAATATCCTCGTGTCCGTTGATTTTACTAGGTTGTGACTCTTCCTACTCATTGTTTTGAATGTGATCATTAGGTTGAGATTGCCGAGTTTTGCTTTTAAGTGTAGGAGAACAGGGACCTATTTTTTATTTGCTTAGAAAAGGAAATTCTGCTCCGACAGTGAAGGCTAGTGTTTGGATTCTACTCCCTGCACTTACTGTCGCTCGCACTCTGAAGACAACACAGAAGAAGATTACGAGGGCGAGAAAGGGCATTTTCACCCTAGGAGAGAGAGATTAGTTCCGCATACTACGGCGACATATCGGATATTAGAATAACCGCTTTATATGACGCGAATAAAATCCAGGTTAAGTACAAGGTATTTCAATTGGCGACGCTAACTGTAGACGACATACTTTGTAATGTAAATTTTCGGTAACGGGGACCTTTACGCGACTGAGCTAACTCACAATATCTTTTCAAAATAACAATCATTTCAAAATAATAATATTGACGTTCGAAAAGCGTAGATTCGCTTCTTCTCCTTCTCTAGTTGAATTCAATTCAATTATTTTTGTAACTGGATTCCTTGTAACTAAGTAATTAAAAAAATAAACCAATAAACTGTTACTTACTTTTGTTACATTTACTTGAAACTTAAATTGCGGTTCCTTATGAGATATTAAAACAGGTTTTATACGCACAGGTTCCGTTAACAACTCTCTAGAATATAAATATTTATTAGTAAAAAGCGATTTATGTTTATTTAAACGAAGTGTTGGATAATTAACACCAAAAATAAGTTTTAATTTTTAATAAGTTTAAGTTTTCCTTTATGCGAAAGTAGTTCGGTTGGTTTTCGCTCGTACTAAAGTGTAATGTGTAACGCATCTTTTATCATCTTTGAAAGCGGCGTAAGTTCATGGAAGTGTAAGTCCATTTGAGATTCACATGAGTGTAAGTTTCCTTTAATTAGTCGGTCACATATTATAAGCAAGTAAGATAGCTATATTCGGCTGGTCTCGAGTCTCGCATACCCACCACCATTAAAATCTTTAGAGACCCATGCTTTTATAATATACAAGACATAAAAAAGTGAATAGAACAAAATTTCTCTTTCACCATTTCGTTCACTAAATGGTAGTGTTAAAAGGACGTCCACCATAATTACACACTCAGCTTGTGGTATTCTACTCTCCGAGTCCTTTTATGCGATACCCATATCGACAATATTGTGATGAATAAATTTAACTACCACGTCGTAGTGAGCACTATATTTATTTTAGAATTGTCCTACTTTTAAGCGGATAATATAGGGGAACACTCCGAAAAAGTAAAAAAAAAAGAAAATTTATTTGCTTATGAGTTTGTGTGAGCATGGCAGACTTTTCCCATTTTTGTATATAAATCATAGAGTTTTCTCTCAGTATAGTTACGAGCAAAGTAAACTCTAACGCACCTGAGATTTGAACCGGCGAATACTGACTTTGACAGACGCTGTACATACCAGACGCGTCCAGTCAGCTTGAGTTGTTTACAAGCAGTCGTTCAGTGTGTAACGAAGTTTAAATAGATGGATGCCAAACCTGCAAGTTTCTACCGCAGGGGCATCCATAAGCGACCCGACAAATCGCAAAAGGCTATAGATACTGATCAGGCATTTTTCGATTGTTAAGCTTTGTAGTAATTATATTTTAAAAAAAATTCAATTTTATTAAAAAACGGAAGGAATTTATTTATATGCCGATTATATTTGATTGAAGTAAGGTAAAAATAAAAGAGGTGTAGTTGAACGAGTTTTGTTTTCTGTTTATTAATCATGTTGGTCGAGGTCGAAACTTAAATACTGAAGTATTTAACGTAGGCTTAATACAATTCCTCACCTATTTTCGTAATAAAGTACCAAAAGACTTCGTTGCTTACTTTTCTCTAGAAATCTTACATGAATAGGAGACCAAGAAATAGGTCTATGTAGGTCAGTGCTAGTACAGTAACGTTTTATGTCAAACGACGAAATTTTGAACCAATTCTTCCGATAGAAATGCTTACTTTTCGTAGGAACAGATCTACCTAGAAGAGAGTTGAAGGAACAAGCCAATTCAAAATTTCTCCATCCCTTTACTACTACTTAGCAATTTGTTAAATTTAGCTACTACTTTACATTTAATATAGGCTGAGTATGCAGAGCCTGATATGCACACTTTAATTTCGACTTTCCAAAAGAAGGGGTTTTACGGGGAGTAATCGTAAGTCCATTTTTAATAGGCTTTTTATGAATGCATTAAATTTCGCCATAATATCTCGAAAACGACGGACAGACGCATAGTCAAGCCTTAAATCGACCCAGAAACTGATTCTAAATAGGTCATCATAACAAAACGTGAATTTGCCATAAGCTCTTCTCAAACAAACTCAATATACTGCGCACGACAAATGGCTTACGGTAAACAACTTTTAAGTGTTTTAAAATTGTAGAGGTCGCATGTGGACAGTGTATAACTTCAGGTATAAAAGTAGGGTTTCGATATTGATTCGTGGAGAAATATCGCATAATTTTTAGTCTAAAATGTGATCTCTGCTCTAGGGGGCTATTTCTTACCCTATCAGCATCACGATTGCGCGGAATATAAGACACGAAGCCTCACATCCACTGAAATGTTGGCATGGTTTTAGAAAGTTTTGACTAAATATGTACACTCCCGGCAATACCTTACCTACCTTACCTTTTAATAGAGTCCATATTAATAGCTACAGTCCGAACGGAATGCTTACATAAGCAATTTTGACAATTACTTTATAGATATTAGGTATCTCAACAAGTTGGATCTTATTGTACGTACTTACGCTGCTAGAAACAATAATTCGCCATAAAAATCTTGACGTATACCGGTTTCAAGGGGTACACGTATATCCAAGAGCCAAAGAGAATCCGTCTGCCCAATTGCCACAAAAATATCACGCATAATAGCCACCTCATAGTATTCTAATTGGACCGGTTTCCAAATACCAGTTGACAGCACGTGTGGACCATCTCTTACGCCATAACTCATTTTCATTTTGTGAAACATATTCCGATAACATTCATCTTTCATTTGCGCTTGCTTGCCGCAAAGCAACGAAGATTTTAATTCCACTTTCAATGTATTTTCTGCTTGTAAATATGGCAAAACAGCGAAACTGTAGCGCAGAAACATGTTATCAGTTACGCCAAGGTGATGACCATTTAAACTGATTTTCGCTACTGTATCGATACCGTGAAAAGTTATATTTACAGCTCGAGTATTGTTGTCCAGTTGAACTTAACATATATATATATATATATATTTTTTTTTTTTTTTGGGTGGGGGAGATTTTAATAAGTATTCATTTTCTTTATTATAAAATAATTTAAAGTACCCTTAAAAGTGGTTGTGTACGTCCAATTTTCATAAGCAATCCATTGTAGTTTTTTGTCATTTTTCGAAAACAATACGTCACCGTAAGTTTTTGCCAGCGCTGAATATACTCCAGACGGAATTTTCAAGTTTCCTAATTCAATGGCTAGAATACAATATTGAAATATTGAAATAAAGCGAAGAAAGTTTTATTAATTCGCTGTAGATTTGAACAGTTCAAGCTCTAATGTAAAACACAACACACTAAATAAGTGATTCGATGTAATGTCTAAATATTTTTTTTTTTTTAACTAAAGTAAATAAATCTTCGAACTTTTTTAAAAAATTGAAATTTTGGTTTCCATTTTGATAGGAGAAATATACAATCAATTATTGTCAGGGATACATAAGGATACCAACCTTTTGTCAATCTCCATCTTGTTTATATTGTTGAAATCCAAAGCTACGTTCTACAAGACGTCCGAGGCTAGGCGTATACTTTTTTAAGGGTCTTTAAAGACCTAAAGCACTCGGCCTATTATTATTATTATTATTATAAATTTAGCCGGAGAGTAATTCTAAGACGTTAGTCCTAAAGCACTACCATCTAAGGCTTTCGGATTTATTAAAAACTCCATTGCAGTTGAGTGGACTTTGAACCCATGACCATTGAGTTGCTAGTCGAGACTCTTGTCTACTCGGCCACTCAGGCGGGTATCGTTCGACCTAAGCAAAAGTAGCTTAGAAAACGTTAGCGACGAAAGTCTAGATTACGCTACCCTCGTCGCTGTTGTCAGCCGGCGTTAGTCTTTCACCGATTAAAACTGATTGTCTTTCCCGTATCGCATTCACTGGTTCGTCTAAGAATTGAGGGAAGTGATAGAGAGCGCTTTGAGCTAATCTAATATTTTGAGCTAATCTAATATATAAACACGTTATCACTTCGCCTTGCTTCCTATTTTGCATTCAAAGACCATCGCAGTTCGAATGTCAGAATTTTGTGGGAAGGTACGAAAGAAATGCCTGTGTTGTCTTTTTATCAGACAGCTAAGTATGCAGATGTTCCGACGATTTATTCAAAATTGGGATTAGAAGAATCTCAGGCATTTTTCGTGCATCTGTTGGCTTCCTCTTTCGCGTTGGCGCAGATTGTGTTAATAGTTTCTTGATATGACGTTACATTCTCTGCTGAGTAATAGCGTTATTGTTGTTATTGAAAATAGATCCACAAAAAAGTGCTTAAGATTCTCCCAGTCTCAATTTTGAACAAACCGATGAAACGTCAATGTATTTAGTTCTCTCTGTTTCTCCCTGGAACACGAATATGTGAAAATATATTGGAAAATGTTTGCATATTCTTATCTATATTTTATCTTATAAAGCACTTTAAAAATATATTGAATTTTAATTGTTAGGTATAATAAGGCGAATACACGACTCTATTCTCTCATAAATAGTAAGAAAGCCAAAATTTATTTTGTATGCATTTATAAACAAAAAAAGATAGTCCATGATTATGTAAAGAAGTAAAATATACTAAGTAAACTTGAGCATTTGTTCATTTGCCTCCGTTCAAATTATTAAATAACTTACAAATATTATCAGATAATATCGGTAGAGTAGGTCTTCTCGAAATGTCGCAGCGTGTTTGTGCAAAGTATCCCTTCTTTCACAAACTTGCTCTTTATTCATACAATCTACTAACAAACTTACGTTGACCACTTTAAGCTCCAGCTAGTCATTGATTTTCGTTAATTTAGCTTACCATTAAAATCTATCGAATATTGTTTTCATGAGTTTAACTTTACAATGGTAATATTATTGTAAACTTAGTTGATATAAAAAAGATTAAAGAAAAGCCGCGTAGTTGAACAGTTTTTAGAAGAACCAACCGTCTAAGAGGTACTCCTAAGCCTAAACTATTATCGAGTAAAAGATAAATCAATATACGAACTGGCAGATGAACCGAATGATGAACCGAAACAACTCCGAGCAAAGACATACACTAGTGGCTAAACCCATCCGTGGAACAATGGACGGAAAGATAAGCGAACAGCGAGCTACGAAAGAAAAGACATACGAATGCGGAAATTAACGAAAAATGCAAGTCTGTTGTGTGTTATAGAAACTAACGACAATTAAAAAAAGCCGTTTGCTACGTACGAAAGGAGCATATCTTGCTCTCGCATACAACCGATGAAGAGACGAAAGGTGAGAGAGATATGGAAAAACGGAAGGATAGCAAACCCGACTAAATGGTTCTCGAAATTGACGCAGACGAAGAATATATGTGCTTTATGTGGTGTTTGATGCTTATATCTGACGCTTAGACTGCGACGCAGCCAAGTAAGTAAAAGTCGCGACACCAAGCCAGTGCCCACAGGTTCACATCTCAATGCGGTTTCTCGCAGCTTTAATGAAGCAGTGCTTACTCCGTCGTTCGGGTGGGGATTCACCGACATCGCTTCAGCAACTCCATACGCCTTTGTCTTCTCTCACTTCTTCACTACCATCACCGTACTACATTTATAGGGCGCATCTCTGTTGATTGATTAGTCAAATCGAAGCAATTAGATGAAGAGATAAATGGGCGAATGTATAAAAAGTGGAGAAAGAATGTGACAAAGCTAATTAGACCAACAAATAAACGGTCAGATAAACGGATGTCATTAAAATTTAATTCATTGAAAATATTTAAATAATCTTACGCTTTAAAAAAATTTTAGAATATCTAGGAATAGTTTGCTTAAAGCGACTCCAGGAAACTTGTTAATAAAGGTTTTGATGTTCCGTAAGGGATAAGAATGGCGAATCGAATTTGATCTGTGTGTATCGCACGCATCATCAATACATCTATATACGCTTGGGAAAATAATACTTACAGCCATTTTGATTTGATAAAGTCCACATATCGTTTAGACCAATTATTCGTACTTGATCACAGTTAACATTATAGAGCTGCAAGAAATATATCACAACAATTCCGTAAAATATAAAATTTGCCATAATTTTCCGTTTTTTATATTTTTTTATTTTATCGCTTAGCACATTTGCGTTCTTGGTAGGTAAAATTTCTGAGTCTGGAAATGAAGCAAGAGCGTTGGCTTCATTCTCTTCCGAACGTTTTAAAAGCAAAAAATTAACTGCTAAGAAAGAAAAGATATTGCAAGTATTTCGGTACCACTTCACTTACACTCATGCCCATGTATGCATTTTAACTTATCAATCGTTTATCAAAAGTAAAAAAAAGCACTATTTGCACTCAAGAGAATCGAATATTTGCTTAAAAACTTGCCAAATCCATTAAAGCAGTAAGTTTGTACATATACACACGCGATCGTACTTTACCGCATCCATATTTCATTCCATGAATAAGATTTGTGCAAAATTATCGCCCAATTTCTATATCTTCCCCATGCATACACACTGCGAGATACTATCTCATCTATCTCATATTCTACGCAAATTGCCAAACTTGCTGATGCGGTTTTCAGTCACATATTTGGAAACTGAAAATTAATTTTTTCCTTTATGATCATTATTTAATGGAAGTAATTGGCTATTTTTTATGCCCCTACGCCACTTATCGTACAAGGGTATACTAAGTTTGTTTGCACATGTATGTAGGAATCAAAACGACTTGATATAGATCCAACATTTGTTATACCGATCAATTTGAAGTCACTTTGTGTACCAATGTAAGCTTGTCTGTCCGTCTTGCTATGTGGGGTTCTACCTACAGTCCGCAATTTTTGAGATGTTGTGATGAAATTTGATACGCTGACGTGTTTTGGCCCGAGAATGAATGCTGTTGAAACTTGTTCGCATCAGACCACTCTTTCGATCTCTACCCAAATAAAGTTTTAATTTGAAAATTCGTTTTCGATAACCAGCAAGTTATGGCATGTCCCAATACATTTGCGTAAGGAAAAGTTTTAGATAGGAAGAGAGCTAAGAGCAGTAATATTTGTGTACCGCGAAATCTGGAACGATCTAATCCTTGCCTTAGCGAAACCGATGCATACACGATTCCCTTATACTATAACATCATAAGGTAGAATAATTTTCATTAAAAATATATAATTTATTATCAAAAATAATACATATTTAGTTTTTTGTCATAACCTGTAGCGTTGAGATTACAACATTTTTCCCTAAACTCATTTAAAACTAAACCTTATTCAATAAAAGTACATATATTCTTTCTTTTGCTACGTCACATTCTTTCATTGATCGTTATATTAAAGTAGCTACGACTGTTAGAACTAGAAAGCTTTTCACTATCTATAGTAACCATCGCAAAAAGCTACCAAAGACAGTTAAACCTAATAATATTGCTGGCACTATGATGGTTAGGAAAGCACGTGAACGATTACCCGTACCGGTGGCCGCTCGGTACTCTTCCTCAGGTAAATATTCGCGTATATGCCGCGTTTTGTTCATCATCCAATAAAATGCTTGCATATTGCCTTGACGTTTCAATTCATCGCCGACCAGCTCACGAATCTTTGCATTGTACTCATTAAGCCAACGTTTCTAGGGAGAGAGGAAAAATATGTGTTCTTGTTATAAGACAATCTTGCAACTTATCCAGTAATCCAAACCTCTAAGGCACTTAACAAAGTACCATCGATTAGTTTAGGTTCGTAAGGCACTAAAGTAACATCATGGAATGCTAAAAATGTAGCCCCTGAAGGGTGGCCGCGTTGTGTATCTTTTACTTCTAGGACATTCTTAAGTCGTACACCGTATTCGCCCGGCTTATAGTAACCGGATTCTAAAATTGTAATTAGAAAACTTTCATATCAAAAAGTCATACCAATAATGAGTTATGTTTATACCGCTGGAGAAGAAATAGCCTTCTTTGAAATGGAAATGACTTTCTTGACCGTACGCCACAGATATAGGTGCTGAAATGTAAATCTATTTAACACTGCACATACATATATTAACATAGATTGACTATTACTTACGTTCTTCTACAGCATTATAGGAGCCTATTCCATGACCGGTAGCCTGAGGATAATCGCTCATTGACTCCCATATGGGGCTTCTAACTAAAGCATCTACTTCGGATAGCCTTAAATTGGAGGGAAATTTTAAGTGTGCTAATCTCAATATGCCAGCCAAGACCATTGTGTAAGACTGTTTCATTTCTGGTGTAGGCTGACCAAATAAGAATGTTCTCGAGACATCTGTGGTTCCCTCATAATACTGGCCGCCTGATTCTATCACCAGAAAGCTTTGATCGGTAACCTCAACGTCTGTGACATTGCTAGAAATATAATACGGATAAGAGGAATGTTCACCGTAGGCAACTACGGTGCGCATTGATAAACCCTTGGCATGATTTTGAGAAAGCCGAGATCGTTCAACCTCAAATTTGATCTTTTCCTCAGTCCATTGCTCAGTAAAGAACTAGAACGGATTAATTTGCTTAATGAAACCTTTTATCAGTTATCGAATCCTAAATATACTCACTCGCATTTCTAAATTGCTTATCGCTTCACAGATGGCAGCACCGTCTCGAACATGTGCAGTACGCATGCCGTCTTGTTCAACTGAATTCTTTTGAGCTCTCATTAATATCACGGGCGATATATGTTCGTAAATAATTTTTAAGGGGAAAGCTGAAAAAATTGCCTCAGATGCTCCGGGCTCTTGAACGCAACGTGCTGGCACCAGCACGCGTTTCCAAATCTGTGAATATGTGCGCATATCACTCCATACCTGATGGTATTCTTTAATTCTTGCAATGAAGTAAATGAAACCATTAAGCGATTTACATTTTAATGTTAACTACTGCGACTTACTTCACGCACATTTCATTAAAACAATCGGTACGTAAATGCCAATTTAAACCCAAAGTCATTTTTAAGCGGTCCACATAAAAGAATATATCCTGATGGCTAACAATCAAATAAGACTTTGGCAAATATATTTTAAGAAAATCAATTTCCAATTAACTCTACAAAGTATGCTCAATCAATCTACCTTTACGACCGGTGTGTAAGGTATATCTCGGCCTCGAACATTCAATAGATAGGCAATTTCCGTCAACGATGTTACAATCATTGCATCACATTTATGATAATAAAGTTTCTGACGTAATTCAAGAATTTTATCCTCCCATTTTTCACCAGCATAGGATCTCTCCCACACCTGAATGGTCATATTAAGCGATTCGGGGCGTTCTTCACCCCATATAAGATCTATTAAATTGTTATTTATTTTCGTAAGTACTAGAAATTTATCTTTTAGTTGATTTTCCCATTTCACCCATAAATAATGAGGCACCAAATGAGGATCAGCCCCGACACGCTTATCGGGATGCAGTTGATCCTGGAAGTTAATGAAAAGGTGTTCAATAAAAAATATAAAATTTTATGGACTCAAGAGTTATTTTGCCTTACATCTAGCCAATCGGCTATGGTAATCGAATCATTTACACGAAATAGTTCCCAATCACAATCCAGTTCTCCATCGGCTTGTTGAAGATAACGACTTTCTACCCATAAAGCGGCTCCTTTCTGAGTGATGGCAGCAAAAGCTTTCGTTCCAGTGAAACCAGTTAAATACTGCAAGCGTTGATCCGATGGAGCAACCTCATGATTTAAATGTTCATCGTACGATGGTAATATGTAGGCGTGTATCTCTGGTCCTTCCAATGAGGCGTGTATTTGCATTTGTTCACGCACCGCAAACAAACGACGACGATGTTCGCTAAAAGGCTGCAACTAAAAAATTATTCTAATTTGATTTCTATATAAAACGATATATCCTATGAGTACCAATTTTCCTTTACGGTATTTGCATATTTCCCTCGTATGGCCTCGAAATTCGTTGATTTTGGCAATAGAAGATGGAAGTACTGAAAAAATTTAAGAAATATTTATAAAAATTATTGCATTCTTTTCCTATTTGAAAGATTTATAATAAAATCAAAGAAGAGCAAATGTACCGAAAACGGTTTACGATGCGAATTTTTAATGTCTTCTATCGTAAATTCCATATCATTTAGATTTAATTTAACTGTGGGCGTCGAGAAAAGTCTCAGAATCTTTTAAGCTCCTTGGAGCAAATTTCTACATTGAGCACAAAGATGTTAGTTGATCCTTTGAAACGTTCTACATAGTACACATACGATTTAGTTAATATTTTTGTTTTAAAATGTTTCATGAAATGATTTAAAAAATTTCAATTCTCTCATGTCGCATTGTTTTAGCATTGTAGTCATTGTCAAGCTTGATTTAGTGGAGCATTGACGCAAGAAACAAAAAGTGTTTGTAAAACACGACCCAAATCCTCTGATTGCCTTAAGATTTCATTTATTGTGTGTTGCTCTCTTAGGATAATTAGCAATCGGCGTTTCTCTGGTTGGCGCGATTTTTTATCGTCTAAAGCCTAAATTTGAAATCAATGCTTGTTGAGATCAAAGTTTCACGATAATAACGATAATACATTAAATTTTCAATTCTTCTTCTAAAACCTTCGTTCAAATTTCTTCGAGTCGAATATCTAAAGGATAAAAGAATGCAATCATATCAACCTAGAATCGCAAATAGTTTATTTTTGCTGTCAGAGACTGAAATATGTCATTTGCTAAGATAACATTTTAACGTCTGCGCTTGGAGATCAGCTATTTTTATCAGTCATCAAGAAGGCATTGTGTCTGACTATTGGTGAGCTCTTTTTTGAATGAAATGAAAATGTCAAGAAATCGCGAAAGAAATGTCAACAACAAAATATCGCTAGAGCTTTAATAGAACACGCTGTCAACATATATAATATAAAACATATGTCGTAGATGGTCATCAGAATCATTACAAAATATATACACGTATGTATAAGATGGGAAAAAAGGATACTTTTTGAATTTCGTGAGCTACGTACATTCAATTTTCGAATTTTTTTTTTTTTTTTTTTGTTATATTGGTACACATGTCCGCAACATACGATGACCTTATCATCATTTTGCATTTCCTGTTTGTTTTGTCAGATATAAATATAACCTGAAAAGACCCACGAAAGGACGTAAATTTGCCTCGACGAATGAAATAAAGACTGCACAGTTGGAATAGCTCAAGGGCAAGGGTTATCAGAAGTGCTTCGAGGATTGGAAAAAGCGTTGGCACAGATGTTATGTATCTAAAGGGGCATTGGTTTGAAGAGAGAGATAAACAATTTTAGAGGACGGTTACACGTCATCATATATATATATATGCATTTAAGTGAATGCATAAATCCTGAAAAAAAAAATTCAATTTCGAGTTTAGGCGATTTCAGTCAATTTAGTTCACTTTAAATATTTATTTATTTTAAATTTTAATTTAGTCGTTTATACACATCAGATGTAGATTTTATCGAAAACAAGTGTACACGCAGGATCCTTTCTTTGAAGGATCCTTTGTAAAAAAGATGTCCGGGCATTTAGTTGCTTTGATCTAATTTTTTAAAAATTCCGCAGTTGACTGTGTGCTCTTCCATTTACTGTCACTTGGTAGTCATAGTCTTTTCCGAGACTATATAACATTTGTTCTAGTACCGATTGTAAATAAATATTTAATCTCAAAACTTAGTATAAAGCTTGCTGAAATCGTGTTATTCTCGTTAACCTCTTTTTACTCGTCCCAAAAAGTGTATTAGATATGCGAAGTGCTAAAATATGCGTACCCATAGGTATACCTGATCAGGATAAATGGCGGAATGGATTTTTAGCCAGACCTTTAGGTTCTTCTTTTCGATTTACGATTACGATCTCAAAGATTTTCTTAGAAAATCAAACCCTTTACCAATTTTTTTAGGATGGACGTACTCATTTTATCAAGACGATTGCAACACCTAGAACAAAGCTTCAGAAATCTTATAAAGTATATAGGGCCTTGGCTAACGTCAAATTTTTAATCGATTTAGTCATGTCCTTCTGTTCGCCTGTGCAATGTCTCTCACAAATACTCCCCTGATAGACAAAAATGAAAATTTTTGCTTCAAAATTGAAGAGAGATAGAAAGCTTTTGCAAACTGATCGATACTGAATACAGGCGAAATTGGGCAAAGCACATCACAACAGTGCAACATAAACAAGGAAAACCTCTGCTTTCTAAGTTTTATGCTCATAGGTCAAAATCTATAATACATTATATTATATATATTCTATAAACGATCTTATATTACCTGAGAAGAGATGAAAAGTATCAGTCGTGCCCGTTAAAGAATAATGAAATTTAGTTGCTCTGAGATAAGGCGGGTGGATGCAAAAAATCATATGACAGCCGAATATAATTATTTCCATTTGTTTTTATTTTGTATAATTCACAAATCATCTAATTCGCGAATCCGCCCACAATTATATAAATATGGGTTTTAACTAATATTATTATCTACGAAATTACGCGAAATTCTCTAAGAATGTGATATATGTAATATACAGATATATGCAGATAAATAAATCTTTACATATATTGAACGAAAGCACATTAGCTTTATCATGAAATGGTTATGAATGAGCAACGACTGACACAATTTTTTTTTTTTTTTTATTTTCCAACTATATTTACGTGAAAAATTTAGAACAATCTTCTATTACAAAAGAACTTTGCCTGTAATGGTTTTAGCCAAAAATGGTTTTCAACACCATTATGAAAAATCTTAAAGAACCGAAGCGATGTATTAGTCTGACTGCAATAGAGAGAATAAAATTAAAAAACAAAATTCATACGTCAAAAATGATGTAGGGAAATAATAGCGCTAAGCAGACTGAATAAGTATTGTAAATTCGGATCTCTGACATCCATCGCATAGATAAATATATTTACGAAAAAAATTTATAAAAGAACAGTTCAACGCTTCCATAAGGCCCCTAAGTAAATTTATCAAAAACCTAACTAATACGTATCGATATACTAACCGTGCCTACATCGGAATACCATACAACCTTTATGGTATGCAAGACTCTGCAAGAGGACATTTCCGGATTGGTACCTTTTTCATTTGCTCTTGTCTGAATTTGTTAACAACAAGCACTTCCTTTCGTCCGAAAATATGGATTGCATTTGATTGTCCTGATCTTTTGCCTTGTCCGGAAATATGATATTCATTTACAATAGTGAGGAGTGGCCCTACCATTATTTTCGATATTGTTTTTTTCTATGCAAAGCAGCCGCATCGCATATTTGCTATGCTTTACTAGCGACAAAGCTAACCATCTACTCTACCTTTCCAAAAAAAAACAGACCTATTGACTAATACTTATTCTACTTTCATCCCTAGAATTTAATTCTATGCTCCAAATAAATTGTAATAATAATCATAAGAAAACGCATATACACTGGTAACTGCGATAGGCAATAACGGTATTATTATATAAACTATATGGACTATTGAAATTGATAAAGTACGCTATTACTCTGAATAAGTTTTGTTTATTTTCAATATAATTTCGAGTAATATTTACCCTTTTTTATTAGAAAACGAGACATTGGTCAACTTATTTTATTGGCGTATGTCGAAGTTATTAAAGCTCATGGTTGGGTCATTAATTATTTTGAAATAAGAGGAAAATAACATCAAAAACTTAATGAAATGTAAACTATAATTTCGGATATACCTATTAAATGTCGATATGTATAAGCCACTCTTTGCATACTTACCGAACACAGTTAATATTACAAGCCAATGAAACCATTTAAGAGACTTCATTTCAGACTTTATATATTCTGAAGATTTTCTAATATTTATTATGTATTTAACAATGTTGTTATTCACTTCTTGTAATTAGTTTACCAACGACTTGAAACATTAGAACGATTGGCCACTTAATTACAGCCGACTTATTCGAAGCATTTGTTGCTTATTATAAATATTTACTCTTTTCTTTCACACTCCCGTAATTGCGTTTGTTGTTGTTTTTCATCTAAACTTTGTTCAACTTTCTTAGTTTGCTAAGTACATACACATAAAATGTTTATTCACTTAACATATGCACTCGCACGCATACGTTTCGATTCTGTTAATTAATGAAAATTTATTATTGCGCGAAATAAGTTTTCACTTAATAAATACGATTTTCTTGACAATGCGTATACTAAGCAGATTTTTTTTTTTTTTTTGCTCAAATTGCACACAATAAGAAAATAAGAAAATAGATACGAGTTCAACGGCTAGCTTCTTTTGACTTTTAGAATGCTCATCTCACTCATTACAGGAAACAGAGAAATGGGGGAAGGGACAGATGCCCAGTGACCAAATTAACTTGGAATTTAAATCTAATCGCAAACATATATGTATGTACACTTTGCAATCGGCTGATGCGGAAACTTTATACCCACCATCTCTATCCTAAACAAAAATAAAAATAAAAATACAATCTTTAGAGCCGCTTAAGATTAGAAACCCATTGGCAATAATGCAGCAATAATTAGGAATACCTTTCATGGAGAGCTTCATATTGGAGGGTGCTTGGAACATCAAGCGATGCATTGCACATTCCAAACATACTTTTTTTTCCTGAAAATGTTATTATTTTTTAATTTCCATGGTGTGATCGAAAAAGCAAACCGATTCGAACCATTTTCAATAGTGATCTTCCTTGGTTCAGAACACGTTAGTGTGCCAAATTTCACCAAAAAATCTCAAAAACTGCAATCTGTTGGTTCAACCCAAACAGACGGAGCCACTGTTCAGACGATTAGACAGAGAGACGGATAAACGATTAGAAAAGCTTCAAATTCAGAACCATTTTCCGAATCGATCCGTATAATAAAAGATGAGTCTACCTTAACCCCTTCTGGCTTGGTTACTTAAAGTAAAGCGTTTTTTTTTTGTGTTTCTAATTCTTCGATCACAATGGTAAGGCTTTGTAATAAAGTTCCTGAAATGGAGTCTAGTATAGAATATAATAATATATTTAGAGGATTTCCAAATATTTTCTTTCTTAATTACAAGTCCTTTTAACTTTAATCGGTGCGCCCAATAAAGTTGTTGTTGTTTTCTGGGAAAAAGACTAACGAACGAAGGTGAAGGCAATTGACCTGACGAAAGGGCAAAACGATACGATCATCTTCTTTGAAAAATATGAAATTTTCTATATCAAGCAACAATGATACGCTAGTGAGTATAAGTGAGGTAGTACTTCTGAAAAGTTGCTTGGTAGAGTGAAAGGCATATATGTATAAAATTTGCAAGACAAAAATAGTGAATAACGAAATTAAATACTTTTTCACGTATAGAGTTCGAAAGCGTATTTAAGTTGACCTTAGCCTCAAAGATAAACCGAAGTGTCCTGCAAGGCTCCTTATAAAGATGTGGAAGAACTTGTAAAAAAAAAAAACTAATTAAAAATCGATAATGACCTCAAGCAATGATTTAAGTCATGCACTACTCGAGAACAAAGTCACAAAAAACATCCCAAAGAAGACGGAAAGAGAAAGTGTGTCACTCCTTATGTTATTCAGTTTTAACACTTAAGCGGAGATTTTGGAATTTAGATTTACATTAGAAGTGTAAATCCGGTTGAGGAGACGGCGCACAGGATTGTTTCTAACCTTTACCATTATTGATCATACACAAGTTGTATTTATAAACTTAAATAATGACAGCTTTAGACTGTGCCTTCAATTTTTTTAAATGAACATCCACATATATCTAGACATCTAGACTGATCAGTTTGATTATTCAATAATTATCTGACAGATGTTTTAAATCGTATATCGCGTGTCATTTCAATTATCACTTCTCATAGCTATGTTCGAATTTCAAATATATGTATATATGTAATTTGTTTCTTTAAATAGTCATGCATTTTCTATAATCAAATGTATGTATGTAGGAACAAAGTGATATAATTGTCAAGGCATATTGTACACAGAAGCACGCACGCACGCACTCATTCGCTCTGCCTATTTATATACAATTTGCTAAATCTACTGTCAAGTGCATTCTCAATGCAATGCCTGTGTAAGCGCAAGCTTACATTGCCCTTATTACAAAACATAAATTTAATATTAGAAACTTTATACATGTAAACTTTATATCTATAAAAACGTTACAGTAGTTTCCATTTAACTGAGTTAATGAAACGCTGTACGTCCAACAAATTTTACAATCGTATCGTGATCCAGAATTTATTTTCTTTATGATGTGTATATGATGGGTATAGGATTACCAGTAAGCAATCAAAATTTAGATCAACGACTAAATTAATTGGACGACTGCTTGGTGAATCAGAAGGCATTCTTTTCAGTCTTGAGAACGCATAGAGTGCAATATATCTCCAGAAGGTAGAAAATGATGCAAAAATCTCATGATAGAGTTTTAGATTTCTTCTTATGTCTATTTTGAATAAAACAAAAGGAAACAGAAACTGATTCTGAATCGATCGGTACAAAAAGAAAAGATGAGTCTATCCCAAATCATTCGAGCAAACTAAGTGTACCCTTGTGCCACAAAAGATGTGCACTTTAAAAAGCAAATATTTGAAAATTCTTTTGTCACAAGCTACAAAGTTCAAAAGTTCGAATTATTATTCTATCAAAAATATAGGATTTTGAAATGAAAATATCAGACACTATTGTCCCTGTCAACCCTAGGATTGCTTTATTATGTTCTTAAACTAGTCCTAGCGATACGCTATATAATTTTTTTTTGGGGATAAATGCGAATTGAAATGAATTTGTATTGTATTTAATGCTGAGCTAAGTTTAGCAAAAGTTAAGGAGCAAAAGCGAGTAAACTCGATCGTAATCTGCATATGTTATCGGACACTAGTTTCGCTATAAAGAGAACGAAGAAATCTGTACTTTATCGACAGCTGTAAAACTCTCTACTCGGCAAAGCGAATCTACGATCCTCAGCTATCAAGTTTTCTCAACGTCTAGAACCATAAGACGATCTCTGTTTCTTTCTCCCATTAAAAACACTTAAGTGAACTTTAAGCTAAATTCGCCTGAAACCCGTACAATGCTATAGAAATCATAAGAGCAACACAATGCAAAAAATCAATCACAATTCACAATATAAAGAGCCCCGCTCTCTATAGTATTATATCCAAAAAAAATATTATATAACGGTAACAAATCGCCGCATTGGTTAATTTTGAAAGTTATTCCCTCTCTGAAAGGTCCTCTTGACAAGATAAGATTGAGTTTTTAAGGCATTGTCGATCCCAAACGGATATAATGCCTTAACTGGTCGTCCCTACAGTGAATGTTCACAGTCAGTAGGCTGCAGCCATTCTCTATGTCTATATTTTTTCCCCTCCTTATGTCTGACCATCAGGGGACGTACAGGGGAGAAAAGTACTGTATACACTGCATGTTTATATACTGAACAATTGAAAGCAACTCTCCGAATTGAACCCACCTATTACTTTATATATGCTACAGTACATGCGCCTCCGTTATTGCAAATATTTCATTCTCTACGTATTTGGAAAGAAATTTAATAAGTTGACATTGATAATGACACACCTACATGCTTTCACATACAATTCTATAAAGCAAAAAAAAGAAAAGAAGAAAAGCAGGCGTTTAAATGCATTTAATTTCCTAATAGCCAAAGATAATTTGCAAAACAAAGCCTACGCAAATAGTTTTAATGGCCACAAAATTTATAAATAAATAAAAATTGTAATAATTTTTATAGCATTTGATTTGGTAAATAAAATTTATCTATTAAATCATTTAAATAGCAATTGAAAATTTCACAGTTTTAATTTATGAATTTATACAATCAATTATATTGATCTCGTTGCATATTAAAACCGAGAAAGATCTATATTGTATTATAGGCACGTCCCGCAGTTTTTCATTGCTTCGCTTTCTCATAATTACCATCGCGAAGCAAAGCTTACTTGTTTCATCATTTCGTTTATAACAACCAGACATACACATATTTATTATGGTCGTAATATTTAGCTTTGATTTAATCGAACCCTCATCTCTTTCTTTGTCCATGGGTTATCGAAATCTTCAAGAGAATCTCATGAAAGCGAAAATATAACATAAACCGGACCTAAGTTGCCAACGGCATATTAAGTTTGAATCATTTTGCAATTGCAAATGCCAAAAAATGGCTGTTACGTAAAAGTTAATCTAAAGAAAGGCAAAAATTCGTTTGATGCAAAAATATTTTTGCAGAAGATCAACTAGCGTACCTACAATACTTTGTGCCTATTTGTCTTCGTATTCGTTCTCAATCTAGCTTTCCCGCACACGTGTCTGTCTGCCTGCCCCCTAGCAAGCCTCTCAGGGAAGCCTCTCAGGGAAGCTCAACTCGGAGAAGTCGTCGTAAGTGTCACGAGTCGTCTGCTCGGAGACTTCTCCACTGAGTAGAAGATATTAACTAGATGGTGTTCCGGGAATATAGATAATCCAAAAGCAAGAGTATACCTGTATCTACGACGCACATATGACGCCGACAGCTCTAGAGCACTATAGTTAGAATAAAGACAATGTGGTCCACGGGGATTAAGTTGCGCACTCACTCTAGTATCTCATGTGCTTTGTCACTACTAAACAGGAGTGACAGCCTTGCGAGACACTTCTGTGGAAAGGGCGTGTGAGGCTTAACTACTGGGTGCGAACCTTCGGGCAGTATTCGGAACACACTTGTAAATTACCAAAAGAGTCTGCGGACCTCGTCTGATTAGAGTTCTAAGGCAAGTGCATGTAGACTCTTTGTTCCCTAGCAAGCCTAATTAACTTCTCGCGTATCTGTCCTATCTGTCCGTCTTCTAGTATGCTATGTCCTTCTTTTTGTACTTCAGTACGTCTACAAAACTTGCTACCCCTCTTCCAAACACACATGTGAAACAGTTCCGTGAAACTTGCCACTTTTATGTCTTTCTTTTCGTCCTCGAGTCCGTGCATAAAGGTTTCACTCACTTGTCAATTCCCCCGTCCTCTAGCAACGTACTGAAACTTACCGCTCCTTTGGTTCCCTATCCGTCCTCTGGTTTCCGCTTGTTTGCCCTCCTATCCATCTCGTAGCATGTCTGCAAAGACTTCCACTCGTTTGTCTTTCTATATGTCCTGTAGCACACCTTTAAAATTTGCGGCTTATAGGTCGTCTTTCCCGCTTATATTACGTGATAAGGCAAATTAAAAAACTTAATACTGCGATCCACTTCAAGCTTACAGTTCAACGTTGCAAAATAATTGCAAACTGAAAACTTATCCGACTGTGCCATAATAAGTTACAAATTGAAAAATCCTAAAAATAACATAATTGATTCAGTTTCATCGACTAATCCACTCATATGGTTTTCAGAGATTTACTTAACATATTAAGCAAACAAGATTCGTCTTAACTCAAACAAAAGGTTTTTTTGTTTTGCTTTTTTTACAAAAAAAGAAATTAAAAATTCTTTAGGCTTTATTTATATTGATCACATTATTTATGTATGTTAAATTCTTTTAAATGCTTCATTAATTAAAAACAGCACTACAAACTTTACTTTTGAATAATTTCGTGCTGCTTGTGGAGTTTTTATGCCATGCATATAATAATAATAGATATACGTAACGCTATAAATTTTCGTTTTTCACGTACTACACATTACGCACATAATAAATAATCAAAGATTGAATGAATTGAGGAAAAATATTCATGCCTATAGTTTACGTCTAGCGGAAGTTATAAATATGTTTGCAATTTTGATTTGTGTTTGTGTTGAAATATTGCATTTAATGACACTTTGAAACTTTTTTTGGAGATACATCGCAGATGTAATAAATTGAAATAGAAACTTATAAATGACGCTTATGGGAGTGTAAATTGAGTTTATGCCCCTTTGCTTTTCAACTTAAAAAATTTTAAATTTTGTATAATTAAAAGGAAAGAATAAAATTTTTAAAATTTATTGAAAAATCGATCCAGGAAATATTGCATTCGAATTCAATTTTCGTAACGTTGATTCATAGACAGAAATAAAGGGCGTGGGAATATTTTTACAGATACTATTAGTGTCAAAGATATGTAAGATGGGAAAAAATAATTAGGGGACAAAATAAAGCTATGCATGTCTAGCTATTTTCAATACATACGATGAAATTATGTAAAGCGATGAACACTTTGTTCTTAACGGAGTAAAAAAGACACTATTTTCGATTTGTGTCGATGTTGCTAATATACAAAATCTTCCTTGTGACACCCTTCTTAGGATATTAAACTTGCTAATTAAACACATGAACATTTGTTCGTAAATCACATCAAGTACATCTTTTCGATCAGTATTGCTTTCACTTTATGAAGATATCTGTTACTTATATATTTAAACCAGGTTTATGAGCTAATATATATGTACATACACGAGGTGTGTTGAAAAGAGATGAATTTTTAAATTTAGTGGGCCCGGCCCGCACATTTAATTTTCGAATTTTTTTTTCTTTTTGTTTTTGTTATATTGGTACACAAGTCCGCAACATACGATGACCTTATCAACCATTTTGCTTTTCTAGTTTGTTTTTGACAGACATAAATATAAACTAAAAAGACCCACGAACGGACGTAATATTGTCTCGACTAATGAAATAAAGACCGCATTGCTGGAATAGCTCAAGGCCACACCAAAAAAAACCTATCAGAAATGCATTCGGTAACGAAAGCGTTGGCTAAGTGGGTTACTTTGAAGAGGACAAAATACATATTAATGAATAAATAAATATTTTTGGAGAAAAATAAAAAGTCACCTTTTTTTTGAACGCACCTCGTATATTAATAAGTTATATCTTGTTTTTTTTCATACGTTCGGCGAAAGGACTCCCGTAGAGGGAGCGACGGACTTCATCTTTCTTCTTCGGATAACTAGCTATTAACTTTCACCCCTTTATAATTTGTGATAAGTAAATTCTAACCTTTCTTTCATGTTCTTTTGCAGGCATTCCTCAAGCTTACCAATGAGTAACGGCTCTTTCAGGTTTTTAGACCTTTTCGGTAAGTTTTTTTTTCCGTTCAAAAATAAAATTAAACTCAGAGATAATACAAGGGGTTTACTACTCCTAAACCCCATTGGAAAATAGAAAATGTTAAATATTTTTCATAACAACAGAAGAGCTATCATTAAGGAGGCATAGTGAGAGAAGAGAGGTAGACGTGAGAGAGATAGGATGAGAAAACGAGAAGAACAGAAAGAGGGAGAAGGAAACAGACAGAATGACAGAGAATTTCCATATAACCCGTATAAAATCACTCATACTGACGTTCGACAAATAAAACGATTTAGAATAATTTTCGTCTTGAAACTGGCGAACTCATTCCAGCGGTTATTAGTGAAGTACGGCGTTGTGGTGTCGCTATCACTTTTCAAGCAAAGTTTTTTTTGACAAAAAGAACCAAGAAGCAAAACGAATTCCAGATAATACTGCCGAAGACTGCTCTTCAGCGTTTCCTAAATTCGTAGCCTTGCTGACCAGGGACTCCTTAAGACAGAACGTTATAAACATTAAAGAATAAATTTTGGAGAAAAACAGAGATTCTCGTTATATTTTGATCAAACGATTGCATATATTTTTCCGAATTCCACCGAGCCTGTATTTTATTTTTCATCAATTTATCAACGAATTAATTTAGCGTGCAAAGCAATGAAAAACTGCCTGGCGTATATAAAAGCTATTCATATATATACGGTTTTTTTGAAATTTTATTAAGTTGACCAAACTCGAAATTATGAGACACGATTCCCATTTAATTGTTGTGCAGGGCGCCTGTAACACCAGCTCGTTTGGATTTGATTTGGGTGGGTATTTTTATTGGGACAGTATTTAAACGGAAGGCCTACTTCGGTTTATGAAAATTTCTTTTTTTTTTCTAAATATTGAATACATTCCTTGCATATTATATCGATTGACGTAACGCAAAACGCGCCAAACCGTGTTTATATTAAAATATCTTTTGGACAAAAATTTTGTAAAGTTTTCTAAACAAATATTTCGAAAATAAACAATCTCAGAGAATATAAAAATAATTCTTTTTTTTTTTATTTATATTTTTGAAATTTTCACTTTTTTTGCATACGTAATAAAAACAACAGCATTAGATTGTAGTGAGGCCGCCAACTGAGGCGAAATGAATCATTTAGTTATTTTAATTAAATCAAAAATTATGCCAATATGTATGTGATAGTGTAAGACCGTGTTAACTAACAAGCTGTTCATTATCATTTATTTTTAATTTCTCGATTTATTTCGTTTTTAATTTCATGAAATTTTTTTTTCTTGTTTTATAATTTCTAATAATCAATCGTTGTAAGCCGTTTAGATTAGTGCAATTTTCATTTTGAAAATTAAATAATAAAAAAAAATGAAAAACTAATTTATTAAAAAACTAGAGAAATATTATTAAATTTCTATTATATATATCGAACCGTTCACGAGCGTGGTAGAAAAGCAACTAATTTTTTTTTTATTATTTCTATTTTTCTCGCCATAGTGAACAACATTTTCTTATTTTGAATTTAATTCATTTTCGAATCGTTTTTCATATTACGTTTTTAATGTGGCGGTATTCTGATTGTTTAAAGAGATACACAACATATATATATATATATATATATATATATACATATATATACAATAGCATACGTTTGTTTGTGTAAGCATCGGTTTTTATGCGGTAAAAAGGCAACAGCAACAACAAATAAGACGAAACAAATGCGCACATTGTCATTTACACACATTTTTGAAGGCTTTGTGGGAGAAATTGAGAATGAATCTGTTCCTCTAAGCTTTGGCAAAAGAGTTTAGTTAACTTGTATGTGCATTATTTTATTGCTTGATTGACTGATCCAAAAGAGAAGAAAGGGTTAAAAGATATAAGAAAAGCACCATTTTCATTTATCTATTTAGTATCTAAAGAGCTCACCATCTAAACGTGATGGTGTCTGCTTTGAGAAACCATTTACTTACCGCAATTGTTGCGGTTAAGGAAGTCTACATATATTAAGGGTGGGCAAAAATGAGATAATGTTTTAAGTTTTGTTATAAAAATTTTACTCTTTAATTGACTTTAATTCCCATTAATTTAGTCCGAAGATATAGCAATGCATTGCCCGATAATAATAACTTGAGATTGCAGTCCTTGATACTTCAAGACCTACTATCCATCTAAGGGTGCACACTAATTTTAATTGCTATTCCCTTAATCCGAAAATATGGTTTACATTTGAGAGCTCCAATCGAACGACGGACGGACGAGCACATGTTAAGTTAGATTGTTATTAATTTAGTTCGAAAATAAAGTTTATAGAGTAAACGACAATGCGACAAATAGCTTTGACTATCAACTTTCGAGATTTTGACGATGACGGTTGACTTTCGATTTCAATTCATGAAAATAGCTCAGGACTGCCGAGCATATTTCATTAAATTAATTCAAAATATTAATAGAGGATATATAGAGCTCTTCGTTAAAATCCCACATCAAATCGTTTCTTATATTCAATTCGTCCAGCTAAGTACGCCTCCTTATTAAATGAGATAATATAGAGAACCTCCACCCAATTTGGTCAAATAACAACCATAATAATGCCAGTGAGACTGTACTATCTACTGTTGTAATATTCCTCTCAACCCTTGTCCCTCTCCATATTATTTGAGTGAAAACATTATGATAGCGTATGCGGGAAGGGGAATGTTGCCGAACAGTGTTTCATAAGAGGTTTTGAAAATACTGAACAGAAACTAAGAAAACCTATTTTCTTGTATCTTTCACCAAAAATATCAAACGTGCTTCGGGTTGCTTGTTGCATATGGATCTCAGGCTTTGTTTGTAATGCATTGAAGCCACAGCATGTAAAAATTGTGTAAAAAAGCAAACCACACAATATGTCTCGGTTTTCACATTGTAGATTAATTACATACGTCGATGACAAGAAGAGTTTATCATCTTTCCATTTTCTTCGTAGTCTTCTCTTTGATCTTAAGTTTGTTTATGAAAACTGAACGATAAAAGATTAAAACTGATTCATAAATTATTTCTATGAAATTTAAAGTTAAAATTATAACATCACACAATTTTTTACTGTTGTGGTTTTTGACTTTTGTTTTGTATACCCATACTGTCTGAGTACAAGAAATTTATAAAAAAAATGGTTATAACGCATAAGCTTTTTTACTCGAGATGCGTTTTTCTCATGAGGTATAATGAGTAAAAGAACCGATTTAATCAAGTATCTGTCCAAGTACTATTGTAACATAAAATTTTTGATGTAAAACGAGCTTGGCTACTCTATTCACACGGTCATCAAGTAAGGTAAAAAAAGTCAGTTCAATCGCTTAAAGTTGACATAAAAAATGTATAGGCATATCTCAACATTTTTTTTGCCTCTAACTCCTATATACCACGTAATTCCTTTTACATTTATTCTTCGGGTAAGTTATCCTACGTGGGCCTATTTATATTGCATATATACATTCCTACTAACTAATTATGTATATAGACTATGCAATATCTTCGACAATATTCTTTGACCCAAGAGCGATCGTTATGTCGCATTCATTGAAACCCTATAAAAATTTTGTTGATCAGATTAAAGTTTCGGCTTCAAACATGCATATCGGTTTGCTTAATCTTATCTTAAAAATTGCGATCTTCACGTTGAACATAAGGATATAAGATGGACAGACGGACAAGAAAACATAAATCGATTGAGTAACTCGGTATGATGAAAGGTGGATCTATCTAAATTCCTTCTAGATGTTGCTTAGATCAGCACAAACTTAACATACGCTTGTACCATGAGTGTTGTAGACTGTAAAAAAAAAATTGATTTTCCTTTTCAACCAAAAACAAGCATGAATTTTTAACAGTGTATTATCGTATTACCCCAAATGGCAAAAATTTCAAAATTCAAACATTTATTTGAACAATAAATTGTGCATGAAATTTTTCCTATCAATTGCTCTAAAAATACTGACGAGATCATTTCCCGCGAGTAATTAAGCACTTAGTTGTCTTACAAATGCAAGCATTCTTAAAATAATAAACGCTTTTCCAGTTAATAATGGTTTTAAGCTCAAACGCACACGTGTTAATACATTTATGCACTTCCCTCTTATCGCTCGCTCGCTCGCTCGCTCGCCAGTTCTCAAACTCACTCACATATTTCATTAAGCATCATTGCATGTGAAAATGTTTGTTTGCCTTATGTATTTATTAGAATTGTTTTGTTTGTTTATTTTATGCACTAATTATTCTAAACGCGATGCACTTATAACCTTTAATAGGGCGGCAAAGTTGTTTGTTGTCTATAAATACATACATATACAACATATGTAGTTGTTTGACTTCCACACATCATATCGTTATTGTTTCTAGTTTTTCAAAATCACAATTAATGAGTGCAGTTACCAATCAACAACAACAAAATATCATAGATTTCAATAAATCATAACGTAATGTAAAAATTTCTCTCCCTCTCTCTCTTTTCATATTGCTTTATTGCTGACTGTGTAGTCGTCATTCGTTCCATTTGAAAGATAAACAATTGAAATCCTATTAAATGGAAATATTTCCTATCTATAACGTCTAGTAGATCTGTCTTATCTTATCACTGTCTTCTCGTATCCGTAGGTAAGATTTGAGAAAAAATCTTTATCAGACTAAAAATACTAAAGCATTTCAAATAGCAAGGGTTACAAGAATGAATCTTGTCGTTTTTCAAAAGTAAAATGATAGGGTGGAAATAGATTGACTTATATGCGGGTCCCAAGACGATTTGAAAATAGCGACAGCGGAAATAGTCGTGTCAAATTGCTTACACATATTTACCTTCTTCGGTCTTTTATTGGCCGAGGGATACGATTAAGAATTGTAAACTATTCGCAGATCTTTTTTCCTTCCGCTTTCTTTAATTGAATTAATCACGTTTAGTTGATGTATGTAAAGACAAAATTAACGAGAAAGAGTGTCGGGCATAGCCATCGTAATTACCTCTGGCACCTAGGTGTTAACTTGAAAGTGGACGTCAGTTGGCTTCATAAGATCTTTATCTGCTTATTTTTGTGGAAAATATTCTATGCGTAGAAATTGCTCGGAAGAGGAGAGTTCAGTCTTTTTTTTCGGGGCAAATGTCGAATGGCAAAGAATTTCTTCTAGGAGCTTTAGGTGGTATTTTACTAGATTAAGGTCTTGAATTTTACGGCTTAGAGTGTTTTTGCTAACATGAAAAGATTTTACAAACACTTCAAAATAGTAAAAAGCTGGCGATAATTGACTTTTCCGATAAATAGAGCATTCAAGGACCACTGGTACTAGAGTAAACTGTTCCGAGGCATCAAACATAATTCTTTTGATTACATACATCTGCTGAAACGCTTGCACCCAACGCTGTGACCATATACATTACTTTAGCAATATGAAAGACATAAAAATTGTCGAGTCCAAAAGTCAATTTTATGTCTGTATTTTTATTTATTATACACTGTTTTTGCTTGCGTATATCTGTCAGACGGGTCTCGAATAAGCACATGTTTGGAATCCTTTTAACCTTTTATTTCAACGATATTGTCAGATATAGACAAAAAGAAAGAAGTTATATACAAATATGAACGCTTGCAATTCGCGTATGTTATGCTAGTATAATTATTATTTTTTTCTTTGTGAGAGTGATTTAACAATAAAAACAATTCCTTGCGCTTTTAAGAATGTAAGATTTCCCTTTTAAAATTTGAATTCGCTTTAAAGATAATTATTATTTCGGCAACAAAACAATGAAAAATACTCTTTTTTTTCTATAACCCAATCAATTCTCTTTTCTAAGCAACTAGAGGGAAAGAAGAAGATGAAGCATATACCCAATGCTCGCTAGATAACTAGTGAAAGTAACCAATGCAGCGAAATCAATTCCTATCTCGCTCTCTTTACTCTTACTTTCCGCTCTGCAGTTGATCTCATTGCCTTTGTAATAACTTGCAAAGCATTCTATTTGTTTTTACTCTCTTAGCCAGTATAAAATTTGCTAAAATTTGAAAAGAGCACAGAACATGTGTCAAAAAAACTAGTTTGTTTACTTGCGAAACATCCGAAGAATGCGTAAAGTTTCGATTTATGTATTTAATATGCTTTTTTAATTAAGTGAAAAATGTTTAATTTATCCTTTTGTAAAAATTATGGAAAAGAATTAGTTTCCTACAAACTAAACAATTTGCCAATATTTTGCCAATGTCCGCTTCACAACTAGTAAGATTAACTAGTGCAAAATCAATTCCTACTCATTCTCTTTGCAATGAAAACTGTCTACAATTGATCTCAATGTTTTTTCATCTCTTATCTTTTGCTTTGCAATAACATTACAATGAGAATTGCTAACACTTTAATAAAGCATACATCACCTT